TATAGTAACCCCGTTCAAATTTGGCTTTGGTGGATCAACAGTGGAGTGAGATCGCCACCTCGTGTCAGTTTTAGGAATTCTCACACATAAGTATTTCATTTTGTGACAGTACAAGCAAAATAATTTACCCAAGAAGCAATATGAACTACCCAAATTTAGGTAGAAATCAATCCAAATCCATATTTATTGACTACTATGCTCTGTCCCTCTTAGCAACCACAACTTTAGGGCATCTAAAAAAGGTGGGTGCGGGGGAAAGGGGGAGTACATCCCCTCTATTGCAAATCCAATTCAGATAATTTGCTTAAAAAAATAAAACAGGAATATCTAACCATCTAACTGTTTAGTGCTGCTCTGAGAGCTCTCACAGAATTGCCAAAGTAAAGTTCATGGAGCAAAAGGAGTAGCAAGTCCTTTGTTAACGTCTTACTCTTAAGGCCTCCGCGTCTGGGCCAACCGGTCCTGCAGAGGTCCTGCGCCCTAACTATGTCCTGCCTGCCACAAAGATGTGCACCCCCGAGGCACAATGTCATAAGCAGATGGGGAAATTTCATGTACCCAAGACGCTCTACTCTTAAAATACTCATTGTTACTAGTTGCAGAATGCTTTTATGATCCCCCCGCTAAAGTGTGCAGCTTGAATGTTCCCCGAAGGGTTCACCCATTGGAGCCTTGGTACTACTGTAGGAAATGGGACCTACGGCGGAAGTTTACACTTTTGAAACCCACCCTGGCCATTAGGTGAACAGGCCGACTGACCACATGCTCGTACCATGACCTTGCACTTAAACCTCTGAAACTACGAGCCCATACAAACGTTTCCACGTTTTCGGTTATTGCTGGTGTTTTGTGGTAGTGCTCCTAAGCTTCCTAACAAGTTTGAAATGCGGCTCTGCTCTACTCACCAAGGTGGGAGGTCCTAGGACGCACAAGGAGGGACAAACCTGGCTGTGGCATTCTTACTCCCCTTCAGACTCTCTCATCTTAGCTCTTGCAAGTCTTATCATCCACCCAAGAGCCATGGGTTTCCTGCAGATTTACCATTTGGTTCAGGTCCTGAACATTAATGATAAGTTAAATGATTATTGTGTTTGTCATATAAAATCTTCTCTGGAGGGAAAGAAATAAAAAAGGAAGGACTAGAGGGAGGGAGAGGAGGGAAGGGGGGAGGGAGGGAGGGAGGGAGGATGAAAGAAAGAAAGGCAAACAAACCAACAGTTCCTGTGTGATTCTCCCTGTTTACAGCTTTTGGGTTTTCCTAGGATTCGGGCAAATTTAATAAGACTCTATCTAGACTGAACTGACGAGGGCGAATGGCATCTTGGTTTACAGGAGGCAGTGCACACCCAGGCTCTGCTAGTTCTGCCCTGGCTCACCATTGCTCCTATGTGAGACCTCCAGGACACCCTCTAAATTCATTTTACTCACTTGTGAGGGTCAGGAGGAACTATTTTTGTATCTCCTGGAAGCTTCAGAAGGCTCCAGCATGTGCTTAGCAATCCTGAGTTCCCTGGGACCATGGCCACTCTGACTATTCCTACTGCTTTGTGCTCAGCGGGAAGCAGGCTCCAGAACCGGAGCAGGTGAGAACTCCTGCTTTAGCTTCAGCCCTCTGTTTGCACTGGTGTTCCCGTCCTTGACCAGCCGCAGGTGTTTGCTGTCTGAGACCTGCCATCAGTAACTGGGCAGAAAGAAGGAATTCAGTAATGAAACAAGTGGCAGTTTTCGGTAAGAGGAGAAAAGACTAAGGAGAAAGAGGGAAGTCTTGACATAGAACATGGAAACAAACCGATGGACCGGAGTCTTCAAGCTGTGATAAGTCTCTATGCTTTAGCAACTAGCGGGGATTTTTGCTGTGCACCTGGCACCATGCTCAGAATCTTGCCAATATCTGGTCCTTTCACTTTTATAATAATCCACCGGTTTATACATTGAAGAAATTGAAGCAAACAGCATAAAATAATTAGCCAGAGTCATGAGGGAAAACAGCAGAGCTGTGCTTGGAAGATGCCAGGTGCATAGACAGCAAGATGGGCTGTGAGTGGCAGTTAGATCCCCACCTCTCCCTTGCCCTGCCTCTCCCAACCTTTCTCTTCGTATCCACTCTCCCCCATCCCCTCGTCCTCTCTCCTCCCTTCCTCCTCTCCCTCAGGCTCTCGTCTTTTTTCTTTTCTCTTCTCTATATCTCCCCCTTCTCTCTTCTCCTCATCTTCTCCCCTCACTCCGTCTTTACCCCGTTCCTTCTCCCCCTCTCTCTTTCCCTTTCTCTCTCTCCCCTTCTTCCCTTTCCTCCTCTTGCCCTTATTCCCTTCCATTTATCTTTCCCCTTTCTCCTCTTCTTTCCTCTCCAGTCATCCTCTCCTCCCGTCGCTCCCTATGCCCCCCTTCTCCTCCCCCTCCCATCATCCATCTAACATGCTCAGACCACACCACGTAGGAGAGCAAAACCAAAGACACTACATTATGTCCTTTTTCAGTAGGATGCTCACCTTAATGACATTCTGATAAGATGCAAGGACCACAAAAATCTCTCCAGGCACAGGACACAGAGTGGATTACTTTTGTTCTTTCTAGACAGTTGTTTGATAGCTTTATTATTCCATTCCAGCCTGGTTATCTGACAGTGTTAATTAAGACTTTCTAATAATTGACTCACACAGGCAGCTTGTACAAAGACAATGCAAAAATTGGCCGGAGACTTAATAAAGTACAACTACACATCCAAGTAGTTCCTTCTGAAAATGTCTACTGCCTAAAAACGTAATGTTCTTTACATTAAAAAAAAAAAGCTGGTGAGAAAAATTCAATTTTGTCTTTACACAACTTTTGACCTCTAATTCTCCTTTGTCTTGACTCCTTGGCAAAATAACACATTCTCTTTCTCTATAATATGCTTTGTCAACAAGTCTGACACTCTGTGTAAGACAAAATACGTTGTGTGCATACACTCGCATGCTATAAAAAATTTGGCTCCAAGAGATACACAATCCAGCATATTTGTCACTACTAGACATAATGAGGAAAGACAGTTTGGGTGTAAATGAAAAAAAAAGTCATTAAGTAGCATGTCCCAAGAGCTATGTTACTTACTTTCCTTCTATATTCTCATAGGAAAAAAACTCATTTAAATACTGACTCATAATTATTTTGTTGAGCAACTTTCATAAAACCCTAGTGGTGGATACTCATCCTTAAACAGAGCTGCTCACCACCTGCTAGCCAGTCATTAGCATAAATGAATTTGCATTAACGTGGCAATTATTTCAAACTGCTCATTTCCAATATAATCTATTCTTCCAACACCATGGATATGTGAAACCAGAGTCAATGAACCAACTCAGCTACCCATCCACCTGCTTACCAAAGAATAATACCAAGAGCAAGGGAGAGGGCATGATGATGATAATAGTTAATATTTATCAAAACATTTCTTCCAGGCATTATCTCAAGTGCTTCACATACACAATATCATTGCTGCTTTCACCCACCAAACTAGTTTATTCCTATTTGTTGTGGTAAAATACTCTGACAAACACAATTTGGGAAAGAAACGGTTTATTTTAGCTAACAATTCCGGGTTACAGTCCATTGATGAGAGGGAGGCACAGCACCAGGAGCTCAAGAGAGTCTGTCACATCACACCCATGGTCCAGAAAAGAGAAGAAATGACTATCTGCTCATTTTCTCCACTCTTCTACAGTCTAGGGTCACAGCAATTACTGTAATCAAGACAATCCCCACAGGCATGCCCATAGGTTAAGCTAACCTAGAAAATGCCTCAAAGAGATTCATCTCCCAGGTGATCTTGGGAGATGTGTCAAGTTGATGACTAAAACTGACCATGAAACTCAGTCTATAAAACCTGGACTGTTATTGATGCCATTCCACAGAGGATAAAGTGGGAATTTACAGAGATGATCTTCATGGATCAAGCTAGTATGTACATGGATCATAGCTAGTATGTACAGTTAAAATTCAAGCCCAGAGAGTTCATTCTCCAGTCTTGTAACTTCAGTGACACTGAGAGCTAAGGCTAGGCAGCTCTACTGTGGAGGCCTTGATGGAGGATGAAGAATGTTTATTTTTGGTAGCAGCATCCCAGCTCTGTTCACTCCATTCCAGCAGCAGCTTCTATGCCTACCACCTTTCCCCAATGGTCTCCAGACTATGTCAAGTCCTCTACGGGGCTGAATTGTAACCCCATTTGGAAACTATTCCCTCTGCTTGTCAAACTGACCATTCAGTCTCACCTCATTAGACAACTTTCATAGTTTAATGGCTATAATATATTTTATTAAATATTAATTTAATACATACTCATATACTAATTTTGATTATTTTTATCAAAAATTATATTTGAGAGCTAGAAACAATTAAGCCCTTGGAAATCTGCCTTTGATATCTATTATCAAAAAGTTAAACTTGGTCAATACAGTCACAGGCAGGAGTTGGTTTAAAGCACAAAGACTGTCCCGCACTGTTACCCTCTCAGTGGTATCACCACTTTTTACCCAGCATACTTCAGAAGATGAAATGAAGGAAAATTGTATCAGTAATGAATTTAGACTGTGAAATTTTATTTAGTTAATATAAAAAGATGTAGCCTAGGTCAACTAAAAAACATATTTTCATGCATATATGTATATAAATAAAAATATATTATCCAAAAATTAAGATTCAGAATTATATTATTTTTCTAAGTTATCTAACAAATTAAAATTTGCTAACACCTTGGTTTTATGTTTTAATTTATATTTAACATATATTAAAAGCATGTATTTTGCTATTTTTACTTATAGTATTAAGCAAATATTTAAGAGATTACTGCTATGTTAGGTACTTTAGGACAAATATAAAAATTAAGCTCAGCATTCCTGATGAAATTACTCTAGCAACAATTTGCAGACACACAAAAGCCCAGAGAATAATAAACAGTCTAGAGAAACTAGCACAATGTCTGATACAACCCACATTAAAACAAGATGCACACACACACCAAGTTAAGGAATATAGTAAGATTTATTTATTACACATGTTTAATATAAGCAATTTGCCACAAATTTTACATTCTGTGGGTCTGTATGAAAAATCACAGTATACACAGACTAGATGCAAAATACATTAGATGAAAATATCCTGGAGATATGTATGTTGTCACAACTTTTATAATATTTCCAGCTCTCTCAATTTTGGGAGGAAATATGGTATAATTTTGATTAAATATAAACACATTTTATGTATGTGGTTTTTACTATTAATTCCATCCCACCAAAAATATAATTTCCTACAAATTCTATAAAGTCTTAAATTAATAGGTTTCTGTTTATGCATATCAAGAAATTTTTCTAACTCAATAAGAACATAATTAAACATGTATCCTGCTAAGTAAGTCCCAAGATTGACAGTGGATTTTATTGGGTGTATAAACAGTGTGTTCTTCTTTGTGTGCAATTTGAAAGTAATACCTTTTAATAACCTATTGGGTATCATGGTTGTGGTCTAAGGACAGAGCATCACAACAAAATTGCCTAAACACACACACATTACCACGGTTACTACCAGATCAAACACTTCAGGAATGCATAGCCACTATGTCTCCCAATGTGCGTAAAATCAACACCCTGGATAAATTGGAAGTCTTCATTTTTCTTCATTTAGGGGCTTTTTCAGCTGATCTTGTGCTTTCTCTTCATTCTTCTTTTTAACATCTGCAAAAAAAATTTCTCATTCATATGCAAAATATGTTGAAATACTTCTTATTTAGAAGGAAAGGGTTGTTTTCATCTTGACTAGGTTATATTTTGCCCTCAGCACAGATATGAATCTTCACAGAAAGGACAAGTTTGAATAGTTTTTAGATCTTCCTCTAGTCTTCTTGGTCTACAGTTACTACATGCCAGGCACACTCTCAAGATGTCATTATACAGTGTAGCAAACTAAGGTAGAAGCAGGTTAAATGACTTAAGGAAGTCACAGAGCTAGTGAAAGTCACAACTTGAACCTAGATCATGTGACTATACAGGCCCTCAATCATTTCCCTATCCTGGGACACACTTTGTGTGTTCTTTATATTTTCTATGTGCTTTGCTTCTTAGAGATAACCTTACATTCTGCCCTTCAGAAAAAAATGGAAGCAATGTCATCATGTGGGAACTCCTTCACTTTCCTGCAACTATATGTCGAAATTCTCCTGTACTTTGTGATTGTTGTTTCTGCCCTCATTCCCATAATAATGGAAAATATACTTCTCGGGAATGGTTGCATAACTTATTATGACTCCTTGGGAAATGAAAATAAAGTGACAAAAACTGTGAGGGACATTGAGACTGGAAGGGGAGAGCATTCATTCAGCAAGTATAACCTTCATTGAGTGTAGAACCCTGCTCATTGCCCTGGATGTACACCTTTGTTGTGGTCCCTGATGATGATCTCACTGCCAAAGTCTAATGCTTCCATGGTTCCAACTCCTGCCAGTTTCCACTTGTCAAGAAACTGACTCCGGTGACAATTCCCTGCTCTTTATTTTACCAAGTGTTCCCTTTTTCCTGCTTCTTTATTTCAAATCACTACCATCCTTAAACTTTCCTCCCCTGCCCCTCTCCAATCCTCTTTGCTCTCCTCCTTGAAACAGGATATCGTTGTGTTGATCAAGCTAGCCTCAAACTCACAGAGGTTTATTTGCCTGTGCCTTCCCAGTGATGTGATTAAAAAAAAAACTGCAGCTTAATCGCAATACTGTTTTTCCTCTCATCCTTTGAAGCATTTGACTGTCTTCATTTAAATGAAATTATTTAAGTTTCAATCATTCCCTCAAAAATTCTCCCAATAAACCATCTACAAATCTTTGAAGATAAGCCTGATAGAGTATATTGAGAACTTTTCATTTGTCAAATACCTGTTAACCAACCTTGGCTATATAGTGAGTTTCAGGCCAGTTTTGGGCTACAACGTGAGGCCTCCATTAAAAGAAGAAAGATATTTACTACGCTGAGCATATGAAGTAGTTCTCAAGTACTAGCCAATGAGTGATAAGAAAAGGACAATAAACAAAGTATGTAAAGTGTGTGGTATGTGAGGGGTGAAAAGTGTTCATGAGGAGTAGAATAGGAGTAGAAATCAGGAGTAGAAAATACAAATTGTCAAGATGTCTCCAGGCCTAGAGTTTACAAATTGATAGAGCTGGCTGGAAATACACATGTGAAAAGGAGGCGTTTGAGTAAGGTCCGGCAAAGGTGAGGTAGTGTGCTGTTTATATCACACAGAAAGAAGAATACTAAATGAGACAATAGTAGAGTCAAAAGCAGCAATATGAAAGAGGGACAACGGGAAGGAAAGAAAAAGCATGAGATAGAATCCAAGAAGCACCAAGAAGATATGCAGTAGGTGGAAAAAATGGCAAATGTCTGGACCAAGTTTGAAATTGTAGCTAACAGTACACTATAAAGGATGAGATGCAGAATGTACAAAATAGAAGGGAAACAAGGATGAGGCTAATATTTTTGGTTTCAGCAACTGGAGCTGTGAAAGAGCTAAAAACTAAATTGGAAAGATGCAGGAAGAGCAGGTTTCAGAAGGAAAATCCAATGTTTGTTCGTAGGCTTGTAAGTGATATTACCATTGGTTACCCTAGCAATGATGTCAGCCAGGTAGTTTCTTACATGAGAGCAAACTTCTGGGATCTCCAGACTGAGAGCCCTAACGGCCAATCTTCATGTCAACTTCAGTGGATTTAGAGTTACCTGGCATACAAAACTCTAAACACATGTGTGAGGGTAGTTCCAGAGAGACTAGACCCCATAAGACCCTGAAGATGGGCAGGACCATTTCATGGACCCCCGACTGAATAAAAAGTAAACCAGGAAGGCTAGCTGAACATCAGCATTCTTTCTGATTCCCTGCTGCAAAGACAAAATGATCAGCCTCCTTACAGTCCATCCTGTCTTCCTGCTAGATGGAACTGTACATTCTTTCAACAGTGAGGCAAAGTGAAACCTTCTCCTTAATTTGGTTTTGTCAAGCATGTGATCATAGCAATGAGACACTTTAGAATGCTCATACCAAGAACGGAACTGCAGAACTAAACCTGGTTGTGTGCTTCATATGCCTTTACAACCAGATTTTGGGAGGAAGAATTCTGAGCTCCAGGCTAGCGAAAAGCCCTAAAGTGTTAAAAAGAAGTTCTTAGGATATTCTGGTGGGAATATGGAGGACCACTCTAGCAAGACAAGTGAACACTGGAGGAAAACAAGGACTCTGTCAAGAATTAAACTAGAAGTCATCATGTGTTCTAGCAAAGTCTCTGCCAATATCGTGAGAACTTGAGACTGAATTCCAAAGCAATCAAGTATCATGTTTGGTAGAGGAAACTTCAAGGTAGCAGAGCACTGAGGCTATGTCATAACTACTGCTTATTGTTCTCATATGTGCTTACAGTAAGAGCGAGCAGACAATGGAGCAGAAAGATGCAAAACGTTTACAGTTTGACAAAACAGGGGAAATGTTTAAAGTCGCAGATCAGCCAAGTGTGGAAAAAGCAGCTGTAACTGTTAAAGAGATTAGGGGAATAAACCTGAAACCTCATAGTTTGTACTAGGTAAGAGGAAATATGGCAGAGGGCAATGACCTGGTCTTTGAAGGCTCAGGTTTGTGAAAATGCAAATTCTTTTGAGTAGGGTGAGATGAAAATGTGAAGCCTCTGAAGAGGTTCTCTGCTAAAAATACTCATTGAAAGAATGTGGTGATATCTTGCTTGTACAAATAAAGCCTGTATGAAGGTCAGAGAATGGAGCTTGCCATTAGCTAACCACAGAGGTCTGTATAGACAGGCAGAAAGTGAGATGGCTGGGTGGAGACAGGATATAAGGGGGGCCAAAACAGGAACTTGATCTTTTGTCTGCTGAGATTCTAAGGAGTTAAGGTGTGGCCATGACCTGCTCCTTCTTTCTGATCTCTCAGGATTTTCCTCTCTATCTGACTTCAGATTTTTATTATTTAGACCAATTAACAACTCCATTATCAAAGGAAGAGTTTCCTCAGCCTCAGCTACCAAGGTCCACAAAGACCTTATACACTCTATAGCAGTGGTTCTCAACCTTCCTAATGTTGCAACGCTTTAATACAGTTCCTCATGTCATGGTGATCCCCATTTATAAAATTATTTTCCTGCTACCTCACAAGTATAATTTTACTACTATTTTGAATCATAGCCATGATAGGAGGAGACAAGACTATACCTCAGGCTAGCAGAGATGTAAGTTATGAGGACATGGAAGCATTCACAAAGGTTCCAGAAAACTGCTGAGACCAATCAATGAGTAGACAAGCTTCCTGTAAGTAGGCCTTAGGATGCCATTGCATAAAACCATGAAAGTAAAGCCTAAGTTGCAATGATGAGCTCAATATATTTGAGAAGTCAGGGCTGTGTGATTTCCATTAAGGAAAGTTTAAGGAATAAAGTAGAGCCAGCCAAAAAGAGAGACTATCGGTGCTGCTTCTGGCAGTATCTGATGAGTGATGGTTAGAGCATAGATAGTGCCACGGAAAGTGTAGATGTGGGACATGAAACTGTAGAATCTGGTGTTGTTCCTGATGAATTTGGTCTTGTTTTAGCTTTTTCGTCCCTATGCCTTCCTCCCAATGGGAACTTTTTTTTCTCTCTTAATATATGTTTTTATTTAAATTAGAAATGTGAATGTTTCACATGTCAGTCTCAGCTCCCTCTCCCACACCTCCTCCCTTGTCCCTCCACCAGCCTCCCAGCCCCCCACCCAATCCCCACATCATTCCCCAGGAGATCCTCCCCAGGGATCTCTAAAGTCTGTCATTTCATACTGGGCAGAACCTAGAACCATGTGTCCAGGCTGAGAGAGCATCCAAAATGGGAACTTTTATTCGATGTCATTGCCTACTATACGTATGTGAATAATTTTTGATTTTATAAGGATTCACAGTTGAGTCCCAGAAGAGGTTTTGGATTCTAGCTTTCCTAATAGTGTTGAAACTGTTAAGATGATGGGTTTTTGATGTTGGAATAAATTCATTTTGCCATGATAATCTGGATAGGAGTTGATTGTTACAGTTTAAAATTTATATGTTACAGTTTAAAATTTTTATGTTTGGGTGTCAAGTTTATAAAGGATAGACTTGTAATGGTTAATAATCATTATCAGCTTGGCTGAATTTAGAATCACCCAGGATGTATTCTTCCTGATATACCTGTGAGGACATTTTGAGACAGTTTTAAGTGAGGAAGAAGACCCACTCTGAATGTAGGCAGAACCATCCAGTTATCTTGAGCCCTGCTAAATAAAAAATAGGAAAGGAGAGAGAGCTAAGAATTAGCATTCATCTCTCTCTACTTCTTCATTGTAGATGAAATTTGACCTCATATTCCTATCATGACATTCTCCCATTATGAGAATTAACATCCTAAACCCTTCCCTGATAGTATACATAAGTGATCCTAAAATTCTATTTTAAAAACTCCTACAGGTGATAAATACTTTAAGCAAAGTAGCTAACTACAAAATTAAGTCACAAAACTCTGCAGCCTTTCTATATACAAATGACAAATGGACATAGAAAGAATTCAGGTAAACAACACCTTTCACAACAGCCTCAAATAATATAAAATATCTTGGGGTAACTCTAACCAAGTGAAAGACTTGTGTGATACAAACTTTAAGACATTGAAGAAAGAAATTAAAAAAAACAGAAGATGGAAAAATCTTCCATGCATATGAATCAATAGGATTAACACAGTAAAAATGGTCATCCTACCAAAACAATCTACATATTGAATGAAATCCCCATCAAAATTTCAACACAATACTTCACAGATCTTAAATGGAAAAATTTCAGCTCCATATGGAAACACAAAAGACCCAGGATAACAGTTCTGAACAATAAAAGAACTGATAAGCCCCAACCTCAAATTGTACTACAGAGCTAAGGTAATAAAAACAGAATGGTACTGGAATAAAAACAGTCACACTGATCAACGGAATCAAAATGAAGACATAGACATAAATCCAAACAATTGTAGACACCTGATTTTTGATAAGGTAGAAATACACACTGAAGGAAAGACAGCATCTTCAACAAATGGTGCTGGTCAAACTGAGTGGTTTTATGTAGAAGAATTCAATAGATCCATACTTATCACCTTACATGAAACTCATGGATCAAAATCCTCAACATAAAACCAGATACACAGCCGGGCGTTGGTGGCACACGCCTTTGATCCTAGCACTCGGGAGGCAGAGGTAGGCAGATCTCTGTGAGTTCAAGGCCAGCCTGGTCTACAGAGTGAGTTCCAGGACAACCTCCAAAAACAATACAGAGAAACCCTGTCTCTAAAAACCATAAACAAACAAACAAACAAACAAACCAGATACACTGAACCCGATAGAAGAGAAAGTGGGAAATAGCCTTGAGCTTATTGGCACAAGAAAAGACTTTCTGAACAGACACCATTAGCACAGGCACTGAGATCATCTATTAATAAATGGGATGGCCTCATAAAACTGAGAAGCTTCTATACAGCAAAGGACACTATCATTTGGACAATGCATCCTATAGAATGGACAAGTTTTTCCAACTACACATCTGATAGAGCACTAATATGCAAAATACATAAAGAGCTCAAAAAATTGTCAAGAAAACAAATAGCCCAGATCTACAAGCACAGATCTAGGCAGAGAATACTCAAAAGAGGGATTCAAATGGCTAAGAAACACTTAAAAAAAGTTCAACATCCTTATTCACCAAAGAAGTGCAAATCAAAACCACTTTGAGGTTTCACCTTACACTTGTCAGAATGGCTAAGATCAATAAAACAAGTGACAGCTCATGCTGATGAGGGTGAGGATGTCCTCATGTCTTTTTATTAGGTGCTTTTCCTTCTATTTGTTTGTTTTGTCCTATTCCAACATGTTAGCTTTTGATTTATTATATTTTATTTTATTATTATCCCTTAGACAGGAGGTGGATCTGGATGAGAGAGGAGGTAGGAAGGAACCAGGAGGGGAAACTGTAATCAGTATATATTATGTGAGAAAAAAATCAATTTTCAATAAAAGAAAAAAATTTTCCTTAATACGGTTTTGTCAGTTAGTTGGTCATTTTAACAAGAAAAGTAACTAATATAAGATCTAAATCTATGTTTCAGGAAGATAGGAACTATACAATGAGATTAGATTGCATTAGAATCAAAGAAATGCCGATCAAGTTGTCAAAAGACTGTACTTTGACCTTCTATTCCATCAAGTGATTGAGGATATGAGCAAAGAGAAACACAAAGTGAAAAAGGTCATTGAAGAAAAAAAGAAAACCATGAGAGGAAAGTGTCCTGGGAATCAAAGGAAGGGAAGATGTAACAATCAATCATGGTAACATTTTTGCAAGGTCATGCTAAAAAAGGGCCAAGAATGGACCAACAACTATAGCAAAGACAATGTCACAGATAGGTGACTTAGCATGCAGTCTTACTAGAGATACAGGGAAAGGGGGAAACAGAAAATCGTAGTTAAAAAAAGCAACACATTGTCATTATACTCTTCTATGAAACAGAGAGAGGAGAGAGAGAGAGAAGTAGGTAACAACTGCAAGAAAACTTGGGGGCATGAAGACATCTGGGTCTTTGCAGTCATAATCTCACATTTCACAAGATCTGACGCTTGCTTATGTGTCTAAAGTCCTCTTGTGGTTCTTCTCCTCTTACTTTCAACCAAGAGTGGCCAGCCTTTATTGCTAGACTACATCAGTCTGCTTTACCCCAAGGATATTTATTCTGCATTCTTTATTATTCATTCTTCTCAATTTTTAAGGATTTTTAAAATCGTGGGTTTCTTTGAGAACTTCACTCATGAGTACATCTACATGTTTCCTTTCTCCAACCCCTTGCTTCCCCATGAAAATTCATAACCTTTTTTTATTTATTGTTGCATGAATATACATATGTATGCACACTTGTACATGTAACCTACTGTGTCTATTTACCTTTTTTCACATGTGCACATGTTCAAAACTGAGCACTAGGGACTGGACAGCCAATGTGGGAATTCATCTCTGCAGGTAACCAATTCTCTCTTATAGTAGGCACTGACCTGCTGAAGCTCATCATCTAAGTGTGGGGCCATGTAGAATTTCCCATCTGCATTGGTATATCAACTGGTATTGTCATTACGCTGGTTTTGTTTGAGACAGAGTCTCATCTATAGCCCAGGCTGTAACGGAACCCACTGCGTCTTTCAGGATAGCATTAATCTCATAGCAGTGTTCTTGTCTCAGCATTGTGAGTTATTCTGATTTCAGTGATGGCTTCTCTGATTTCTGTTCTAATCTAGTCACCCAGGAACTCTCCACAAAGCACCCTATTTCAGTTTTCTAATAAAGCATATTATTGTTAGCCTGTGTGTGTATCCCTTTGAAATGTAACACTCCTGTTGGACTGTAAGATTTGGGACAGCAGGAGTTCACATCTGCCCAACTCACCACTGGGATTCCCTAGTATTTAACGGGCATAAAAGTGAATGGTAGATGAGATAATAATGACAGAAGCAAGAAAGGACATTTTTGTGACTGAAACATTGTCTTCCATCACCTCTTGTTGATATGTTAGAAGGCTCATTGCCTCTTTGTTGGGGTTCTCAAACTGTAAGTGGTAGATTAGGACAGATAATGAACTAGTCATGAGCCACAATACTCAGCTCCAGTGCAATAGTTAATACTTACGATTACTTTTAATTAACTTTGCTCTGCAGATTGAAACTAGGATCCCAACACATGACTATATACATCCAATAGACAGAAACAGCAGTTTCTATGTTCACCCTGGGGATATCAAGATTAAATCATCTAGTTTCAGAAAGGCATAGAAATCTATTTTGCCTTAACACTGGAGAGCTTTTAGTCAAGAAGACAGTACTGAAAATTAGTTCAAAGGCTGCTCCGAAGAAAAAGATTAAAAGGAGAGACATGCTGAGGGCTTTACTTCAGAGGATTCGTGTTACCTTCCTTCATGCTCAATGCCTCCAGCTTCAGTGGGAGATCAGAGGCACCACCTGTAGCAGCTGCAGTCTGGATGTCAGGTAAGGCATTGCGGCGGCCTGCCCTGGCTGACGATGCAAAGGCGCTGATCACAGACTCCACATCAGTCATCTCCGATGAATCGGTCCTCATCACAGCATCTATAGATAGAAACGAGCCTGTTCAGAGGTAAAGGGTCACCCAAGAGACCGATGGTTACATCAAAATCACGACAGGCTTCAAGATTTGATCTCGAGTGGCACACTTGCAGTGTTTGCCCCTTGCCTCTGGGGCGCCCATGTGAACATTTGCTGACTAGGGCAGGAAGTACTTCTGTGAGCCAGGTTGCTATAAATAAGCCTGGAGTCCAAAGCAACACTCGAACGCTTGAGGGTGTAGTAGTCCTAGACTTTTGTTCTGCTTTTCTAAGGATGAATCAACCGAGGCTTGGAAGCCAATGAAAACCAATCGGTGTGGCCACTCCCAGAGTGTTTGTTTGCGGTGCCTATTTAGGCTGAAACCAAATCACTGCAATTGTGGGGAATAATCAAAGCACTTTTCCCTAACTCTTTAGAAATAAATTGCACTTTATAGTTGCTGTAACTTCGTTTGTTCTGATTCAGACAGTTTTCAGTACACTCACGTTTATGCTAGGCACTGTTTCCCTTGCCTTTGGGTAGACACACAGTCATGCCTAGCACCTTCCCCAGCATCCCTTATTTTCCGAGTAATGGTCTCTCTCACAGTTCTTAAGAGATCATTCACTGTACAGGAGGTAGCAGTTATCACATATAAAAAAATCTAAAATGACCCTGCCTCATATTTTTTCGTTATAAAGTTTTCCTAGGTTTTGGTGTTGAACTCTAACCTGGAAGCTGTGATGGCAGCTTTATGTAGGCACTTCCCATTAGGCTCCAGCAAGGCCTTGAGAATGCTAATGTATCGTGTGTGTGTGTGTGTGTGTGTGTGTGTGTGTGTGTGTGTGTGTGTGTGTGTCCATTCGCAGGCTGTTTGTACTCAGAGGGACAACAGAACATATATGCTTTCTGAAAGATTACCTCAGAACACAAAATGGGCCCCAAAGGATGGAATGAATCCTTTTTGGTATTTACAATAGTAAACTCTGGCCTGAGGAAAGCAAAGCCAGACTCCTCATAGTAGCTGAAGGGATGTTCTTAGACAGTCAACTTCCACTTGGAAAATGCTAATAAGTAAACGAGAGGATGCAGGCATACTGCATCTGGTATTAGGAACACAGCTCTTGTTGTCCATCACCAACAGGATTCATATGGTGCACCATGTGTTCCTCAGGAGTGTGGTAACAGTCTGAAAGTGCCCTGACAAGCGGCCTTTTACAAGCATCGTATGAGGTTTACAGACACAATCTGGGAGTTAGACTCTCAGTGTTTGATATTCTACTAGTGTCTGGCATTGGCAGCTTGGAGAAGAGCAATGAATATTGAAATCTTAGTTCAAAAGAATCCACTTAATTCCAGAGTTTCAAGTGACAGTGGTCAATTCACTTAAATTTATGGGTCACAGTTTCACTTCTACATATCAGGTATAGCAATTAGTCTGTTTGATTCACAGGATTCTCTTTGTGGAAAAGTGGTGAGATAAAGGGCAAGCATCTCTGTTCTATGAAACCATTGATGAGAGACTACTTATGTCATTGTTCATCTCTCATGGCATCTCCCATCTTACCACACACCCATGTACCCTCTTTAGTCCTCACAAGAAGATCCTGCTAGAGGACCCTCCAGACTCCTGCTAGAGATCTCTTGCATTTTCTAACAGAGAGGCCAGAATTCCTTTAATAATATCAATAGATATTTTGTGTCTATCACTTCACTTAAACCTCCCTATAATTCTGCAAGGTCCTCATTTTATGGCTGTAGCTCCTGGGGCTGAGAGGCTCAGTGACTGACTTGAAGTCCCATAACTACTAATCTAACTTTGGAGAGAAGCTTAACCCAGTTACCCCTGAAATCAAAATGATATGGATTATTTAAAAAATTTTAAACTCCTTTAGATTTTGTTCTTCATTAACTGTGCACAGGGAATTCTCGCTGTTCAAAATTTTCCCTCTGTGTCCCCCTACCGTGTGTGTGTGTGTGTGTGTGTGTGTGTGTGTGTGTGTGTAAGAGAGATAATGTGAGGCATACATGGGAATTCTTTATTTTACATATCTGGTAGTTTGGGAGGACCCCTACTTAATTCCAATTAAGGTGTCTTCTCTATAGTTTGTGAAGAATTGAGTGAGACCATCTTGAAGCAAAGTTAGTCCTTGGACCCTGACTCTATCCCCAGTCAGTTATCATTGCCTCAGACATGATAGCCATGATCAAATGCTCATCTACAAAAATCATCTCTCTGTGTAACTGCAAACACACTATGACTGGCTTTGGGAACCTGGCGCATGATTCCTTGCTTGATGGTCCATTTCTAAGGAAGAGTCAAAATATGTTTTTGTCATCTATCAAATGAGAATTTCTAATTCTGCTTACATTATACATTGTGTATAAATCTCAACTTTAATATTAAATGAGAACTTCTGAAAGATGGTTACAGCCATCAGCATGGAAGCAGAATTCTGGGCCCCAAGTTAAGTTCTTTGCTATTTGGGAAGTTGTTCCTTTTGCCTGTACATTACTATACCATGCAGAAACTTTCTAAACAAAAACATCACAAAACGATCTGAAAGTGTGTCAGCTACATTCAGTGACAAGAATCTTAAGGCCAGGCCCGAATTGACCGACAGGGAGAGCCAACAGTCAAGCTGCCTTCCTTTGGGGTTCTGCTCTGCTCTTTCTCAGTGTACATTTGCATTGAGCTCCTCTCAGAGGCTGGTGCTGAGGCTAGCCAAGATATCCACCACTGACAGAACTCATCATCTCAGCCCACAGAGCTGTGAGAAGATGGGTGTTCCACTGTGAAAAGCTCTCTATCTTTTGACCCAATGTATTTGGCTTACAGAGAGTTTGCAGGGCCTCTTGATTCTGAATACAGTATCAGGCTTTTTTGATTCTTTGTCAATTGGTGCTCTACAGCACTGGACAAAACTGAAAAGTCCATCAGGAAAATAATGTGAATAAACTATATACATTGTGCTATGACTCTCGTACTTCTAGGTTAAGAAGAAAGTGTCAGATCTACTAACAGATGCACGTCCACAGAACATTCTGAAGTGTTAAAGTAGTATTTGTATTGGAGGATCAAAACAGGAAAGTAATGAATGTAAAGTCATCTCAATTTTGCACAAAGAAAAAAGACCTACTTGGGAACTGCAGATAGAACAAGGACCATATTAAGCAGGTTTTAGTCTCTTTGACATGTTAATGCACAATACTGAACACATATTACTTTCATAGTGCAGAAAGATTGAAGCAAGACAAATTATGAGTCATCAGACAGTTCTTTCACAGAAAGGGTCTAGAAATATTTTGAGCATATAAATAAACACCAAATCATGAAGTGAATGCTCCTCCTTCCTTAAACAGTCATTTTATTTCTCTTTGTTTTACATTTTATAAAGAGTGGCATAGGTAGAGACAACTGCTCTCTTTCAATGCTTTGTGACATTCAAAAACATAATTCATAGGAAGATGAGATAATACAACTAAGGGAAATAAACCTGAGATAAGCTTTTATACATTTTAAATTTTGCAAGCTTAAAAAGCTAATTATGTGAATGTTTGCTAACCCAGGTGGCTTACTCACTAGCAAAGCTTCCGCTTTCTCATTTACAGAACTAACAGAGGTGAGCTCTGCTTGCAAGAGCTGGAACCATTTGCAGAGTTGGAGATTTCATCAAAGCCCTGTATTCCCAGTGAGGTAATGTCATTTGCATTGCCCTGGGCATAAGTGATGTCAGTTGAAAATATAGTTTTTTAGGATGTCTTAACAAAAGACCATAAGACAATCATGTATCCATGCACTCCAGCCTCTTTGCAATCTCCAAAATATGGGAAATAAAACATAAGCGCAAATGAAGACAATAAGCTGTTCAGGCTAAATAGAGTACTAGAGTTATACACATATACATAAGACACACATATGCACATAATAGTGTGTGTATGCACTCATGCTTAATCACTAAACTCTCAGAGGACTTAAAAGAATTTTAGAAAACAGTGTGTTTCTTTGTTGAAACTGTAGCTACAGATTTTAGTGTCTCTCTCTGCAGACTGGTGAGCCCACCCTCTGCTCACACTAGCCTTTCCTCGAAGCTGAGACTATAAGCAGGCTAATACTTTCCTTCTTTCCTCATCTTTTGATCCCTATCTGTCACCCCAGCTCCCACAGTGAAACTACTACTGCTTATGTGTATAACATTTCCAAGAAACTTCTTATCTGCTTAGTCTTAGAGGTTGTGTGAGTCAGACTGTCTGAAAAACAAAAAACAACAACAACAAAAAACAAACTGAATTAAAAAAATTTCTAAAAAGTATGCTTTTAGAGGCAAAAAGAAAAAGAACGATACTAGTCTCAGCTGACACCTAGCGGCTAAGGACTTACTTAACTCACAGATAGAGTAAGGTTGAGTTTGTGCAAGGCTTCAGCAAAACTTTTTAAAAGGAAAAGGAGAGAAGGAAAGGAAAGGAGAGGAGAGGAGGGGGTGAAAGAAAAGGAGATTCAGAAAGGAGAAGGCAGAGCAGGAGGAGAGAGGAGAGGAGGGGGAAGGAGGGAAGAGGAGGAAGGGAAGGGGAGAGAGGAGAGAAAAAGAGGAGAGGGAAGGGAGGGGAAACTGGAAGAAAAGGGAAGGGGAAGGCGGTACAAGAGGAGAGGAGAGGGAGGAAGAGAGGGAGGGAGAGACAGGGAGGGGAATGGGGAGAAGAGGGGAGGAAAGGAGAGGCTTGGCTTTTCTCTGGCTAGTTCTCCACACTTTATGCTAATATTCTCAGGTCTCTGTGTGGGTAGAGAGCCTTATTTTGTGATTTTCTGTCTTTTCTATGCAGACCTCCTCCAAACATAGTGAAAGAAACAGAATAGTTGCTTCTCTGGGCACCAACGAGTCAGGGCTTATCCATCTAATTGCATGCAAGCACTGTACCAGCCCACAAGCCACACAGAGGAACCAGACTGTACTGAGATGAGACATGGTCTGGTCCCTACATAACCCTGTGTCCTAATCTTAGGAAATTAGGTAAAAGATGTCAAT